AAGACTTATTAGCACTTTGCATATGATTTAAGGGTATTTTAAAATGATCCTTTTGTTCTAGAAGCTGCAGATTCTAAACCATCTCAGCACCAGGGTTTCTTGGTGCTAAAATCAGTAACAATATTGGTGTAAAATGTAAGTTCCTTAAGTGTGTCCTCCCAGACGTGTATCCCTGGAAGTTTACTCACAATTCCAGATAACCTGAGGATCTTGCAGTGGGTGTAACGAGGCCTTTTGGGTTTCCTTGAGCAGAACTTGTTTCCCTCCTTCGTGGCAGGGAGGGGGGGATGCAATTCCTTCTTCTTGCTTTGGAGATTTGTTTTTCCCTTTTTTGGGATGGCTGGAGTGCAGTTCTGGGCATTATCTAAATCTTTGGCAAGATGCAAACAAGACCCTGAACTGAAGAAAGTGGAGAAGTTGCCCTGAGTGGGGTTTGTCAGCCTTCCCACCTTGGGCTGGGGGGGACTGAAGCTCTGCAGCCCAAACCAGGCTCAGTCACCACAGGCCAGCCTTGGGATTTGATCCTGGAACATCCCAGTCTGTCTTACCCATTTCTGAGGAGGATTCCTGTTTCTTTCAGGAGGTTTATTTGATGTTTGTAACTCTTTAAAAGCACAGTAAAGCAGAATGTGCTTTATTTGTTGAGGCAACAGAGTAAACGAGCCCCGGGATGTTCCGGGGTCCCAATGGGGGGTTGTAGAGCAGTGGGGGGGGGTAACACCAAGTTTTTGGGCTCCAGGAGTTCCGTGTCCCAGGCTCCAGACAGCTCTGTTTTCCTGAAGGATGAGCAGCCTGCCCAGCTCAGGCTTTTCAGCCTCCACTTGTTCATTTATTTCTGTTAAAAGGCACCGATGTGCTCCGACAGCACGGGCTGTGCTCCTGAGATTGGCTTTCCCCAGTCAGGAGAGGTTTAATCATCCATCCTGTCAGGCTCTAGCTGGTCCAGCTCTGCCCAAGGCTTTTCTTTCACTTCTTTCCTAAACCAGGGAGCGAGTTTAGGTGGGTTTAATGTTCAACTGGGCCCCGTGGTGGAGCTGGGGGAGCGCAGAGAGGTGGGGAGGAGCAGTCCTGTGGTCACCTCCAAATCTGCCCTGGAATAAAGCTTTAATAACACTTCACTTGGAAAGCACGTAGGAAAGGCCTAGCTTAGGGAGAGAGGGGTTTACTCTTCCTTGCACCTGGCTGGACAAAGTAATTTGGCAAATTCTGGGATAATCCCCTTGTGACCTCGTGGGCCTTACGTAACCCCGGGATCGCTTGGGGGGTGTGTTGCTGCCTGTCTGCAGCTGCCTTTCCTTAGCAATTCCAAGGTTCCAAGGGCTTCAGGACACCGTGGAGCTCCCAGGGAAAGCCTGGGAGGCTGCAGCAGCAGTCCCACTGAGGGGCTCCCGTGGTGGGAGGTGTGAGCAGGAGGGAGGAGAGGGTTGGGTGGGAGCAAGTTCCAAGGGAAAGGAAAACTCTGGGCTTCAGGAGCTCCTGTGGAATGGTTCAGCTGAAGCGAGGACCAGGATTGTCCCTGGAAGGATTGTTACTGGTGAGGGGCTGTGCAGAGGCAGGTCTGTGCCTTTGGTTCGTGGCCTTGTGCTCAGTCACTGGGTTTTTCATTCTTGCACTCGCCCAGTTCACAGACTGTGGTGAGTTTTAACCTTGAATGCAGTTTTTTGTAGGGAACCGTCCTCATGTGGGCTGGGGTAGAGTGAATTTTCTCCTTAGTGTTTGGGGTTTAGTATGAGAATAACGATAACACACTGATGCTTTAGTTGTCACTGAGTCCTGCCCCCCCTGAATCAAGGACTTCTTGGTTTCTCATTTCTGATGTAACCCTCCCCTGGCACAGCCTGAGGCTGTTCCCTCTCCTGTCCCCTGTTCCCTGGGAGCAGAGCCTGACCCCCTTAAGCTCCCCCTCCTGTCAGGGAGTTGTGGAGAGCTCCAGGTCCCCCCTGAGCCTCCTTTTCTCCAGGCTAAACAATAATTCCTCTCTCTCATTTTCATTGTTATTGTTACATTATTTATTTCAGTTATTAAGCTGTTCTGGTCCCACAAGGTTTATTCTTTCCCCAGTTCTCCCCACCAGGGCTGGGGCAGTGACTGAGCTGCTCCCTGCTGGTTCCTGTCCAGCTGGGCTTGAACCACGACAGGACACAAACCCTGAGCAGCACTAAGTGCTGAGGTTGTTTGGGTTGAACAGAGCTGGGCAGTGGCTCTGGGGTGTTTGGAGCAGATGTGTCACCACGAGATGGCTCTGCTGGTGCTGTGGACACTGCTGGACAGCTGCTGCTGCCCACCCTGCCCTGCCGTGCAAACACAGCCCCAGAGCCTGAGACCCGAGGCCAAACCAGGATTCCTTTCCTTTTCCCTCCCTTTCCCCACTAATGAGGGATTAATGCCTTTCTTGAAGCAGGATTTGCTTCTGCAAAAGGGAGTTCAGACACCTTGTCACGTATGAGAGTGGGGATGGGGAATGTTCTGTGTACGCTGGAGTTTCAGAGGGATCAAAGAAAAATCAGCAAATGATGAGATTTGTGGTTTTGTCTCAGATGATACACTGAACCTTCTCCCCTTCAAAGTCTGTCCAGCCCCA